CCTGTTGTCTTTTACATTAAGTGTAAATTTCATGATGAATGGACCAAAAGAAATGGCCAAAAAAAAAAGTTCCACTGACTTACAATAAAAGTAGAGTATGTTTTTTCCACACAGTAATGTATTGCTGATGCGTCAGTCAGGCTGGCCTGAAGACCTCATATTAATTCGTTATGATGGTATTCGGTTCTCTGTTTAATACTGTACAATTGTGGCATATAAAAAACAGCAAAAGTCTGTAGAAAGAAGAGAGATTAACATTTTTTGATGTATGAAAATATATTTAAAAAAAAGCAAATTATGGCTGTTTTAGCTGAATGCATAATAAATTCATGCCATGTCTCCTCAACTCAGCACAGCAACTGACTCACTTTCCACACTGTAAGGTAAAAGAGCAGAGATGCCTCAGGAACAAATCAACTGTATAATTGGACGATTAGAAAAAGAGGCTGGGAGATACTAAAAAAATTGATGAATGTTATCAAATCCATACAGTGATCCTTTTCTATAATAATAACTTTATTTACAGAGCACCTTTAGTACCGGTGGCAGCTTATAGTGCTTTAAAGACAGGTGTTAATTAACAGTAACAGAAGAAATTAAAATTGGGTTCGATTTTCTCCTATTATAGATGCTCTTCAGTAACAGCATGTGTGTAATATACACTGGCTCTGATTCATCTCCGTCATGGACCCAGAATATTTTCTCATTTCTTTTCTGATTGAACAGTTTCACAGCAGGTTTAAAACCTGACAGCACAAACAGCAGATCTATTAGTTTGATCAAATCACAGTCACAGTGTTTTGCAGCTGTCAGAGAAGATTCTCTTCCACACACCGTTAGTACAGCGCAGGAGCTGCTCCGCCACTACCACGCCAACAAGATCATCCCATTTTAGTAAATCATTGTTTTAAATATAGTGTAAAATTCAATGGAAATTGGAGTGATTTTTGACTGGATCTCAGGGGAGCTCATGTTCACACATGTAGTGTAGCCAGTGTGAACTAATCACTAATTAAAATGGAACTGTACTGTCCTTGTCTAAAAATGCTTCAAAAACTGTCCAGTGTGAATTGACCTTTTATTGTTTCTTTATTGATTTTTTTGAGAATGTGTATTTGAGTGCTCATTCAAAAATACCACGAGGATTCAAAGCCTGAAAATTTGTTCCAACAACAGTGATACATTACACAGTATATTCCCAAGTGCCAAAGTTTAGTATACTCACAAAATCCAACAAACATACCTTATTGATTTTTGAGTATAACGTTTAGACACTACGTACTGTGGTGTTGGCGTAGAGTAAGACACAGAAGAGGTCATAATTCCAGCACTATAAGTGCTCTTTATTAAACACCAGGGCAGAAAGGCACCTACAGAAGCACTGAACTACAAAGGGAGGTCACCATTAGCCATACATTTGACCACCAACCCGTACTAACTAAACCCACTCCCCAACACTGACAAACATCATCATAAACAACACAAATAGTCCATATGCACGCCTTCATCATCCTCCCAGCACAGCCATCAGCGTCTAGAGGCATCTAGAGGACAGCGCCAGCCAGTAGCGGGTGACCACATTGCCCCTCTCCTTAAAAGGTTGACTGTCCTCAGTGATCTACCAGCTTGAGCCATGTCCCTGGGCACGTGCACAGTCCTGGCCAGCACAAACACCGTAGGCCACTCGCTTCTTCCCACAGTGTGCGACGACAAATCCCCAGCGGCCGGGGGCAACTGCAGCAAGATTGGCGCTCCAGCCAGTCGCCATTCGCTCTTTCCACCACCCTCCGTGCCATCAATGCTGGCATGAGTGCCGCTCGTACGTGCTGGGCCTCATTGAGCCTCGTCAGGCCATCTTTCCTGTGGAGCCTTGCAGTGCTGTCCCAATTGTCATGATCTTTCACCAGGCTCAGCCTTTTTTGCTGCTCGCTCTTGAGTTAATGGAAGTACCATTCCCACCAGTCTGCTGGGGGTGCTGTCCCACCCTTGACATCAGTGTGGTCTTTGTGTTGGCTTAGAGTAAGACCCAGAGAAGTGCAATGCAAATAAAAAAGAATAGAATGAGCCATTAGAGCGTTCCCATGCATCTCTTTAGTGGAGATTAGTCTAGAAAGCCCAGAGCACATGTTAAAGGAGTGAATAATGATTTAGGAACAAATTTGAAGGCATTTGGAGAAGCAGGCTTTTAAAATGCAGGGGGCTTGTAGCCAATCAATTTGATATCAGCCCTCTCTGATATTGGTCTTTTATGTATTTTGGTGAGAGTCGTGTAATGGCTTACTCCACATACCCTTCCAAATGTGTGTCTGTGTGTGCGTATGTGTGCCCACGCTCTAATTTTTGAGCACCCTAATGACTTTTTGCCAAGGCTTGATAATTGTGTCCCAAAAATAATGAGCAGCACAGTTTAAAATCTAGGCTACGAAGGCACATCCTTTTCTTTTTGCCGTCCCATTACAAATAGCAGCGTGTTGCATTAACTGATTAGCCTGTCCCCATTCACTAGTACTGACGTTAAAGAAATACTGCTGTGTTTTTCAGCCTAATCTCTATCTGCTTTATCTTCATAGTGGTTGAGTCCCATGGACAGAAATTTAAGAGTTTCTCTGTGTGTAGTAAAATAACTAAAAACCAATTAACTGAAAACACACTTATAACGGCAGGTGCGCCTGTCAGTTGGCTTGTGTTACAAGTACAGTACTGTACAAACATCAGAAACCACCAAAACAGCCATTAAATACAAGCTGTTCATTGTCAAGGGACCTTGGCCTTGACTGGAAGGATAGTCTGGTGTTTGCACAGTACTCTATGTTTCAAGTCAGCAGTTATTTTGTTTATTTCTAAGCACAGGGACACTATTGTCCGTGGTAATCGACCTTATGCTACATCTACAACAGATAGAGATCAGGTTGAAAAGCGCTGGAGAAGTCCTTTATGTGTTATCTCAGGGTCTGTCTGGTTGTAAGCTAGCACACTGTCACCACACAGCATTAGAGACTGCAGCTCGGAGTGTGTGTCCTGCAGTGCTTGTGAACAGGCCCTGTTTCTTTACTTGGTCACAGAAATTGCCATTGGCTCTCTTTACCCAGTGTTCAGTTTGACAGAGACGGATTTGTGGGTAATGGAGTCCCTGGGGTAGTGGGGATAAGTGGGAGTCCCTTGGGCTGCCAGGCTGTTGTGGACTACAGAGCGTGTTGCTGAGTCAGACAGGAGAAAGCAGCCTTCCTGCCTGTAAATCAAATGGAAATCGCTGACACACTGAACACTGTCTGAGCCTTAAATCCGTCCTCCTCTCTCGCCACTGTCCTTCACCTCCATCAACGGTTCTGTTTTTGGAACTGTAGCCGTCCACATGAACAAAAATAGAAAGTATAGTTTTGTAGATGTTTAATAAGTGAAGCAACTAAGAATGCAACAATACAGAGAATCATACTGTATCGTAGTGTTGAATCGTGACTGGCGTGTTAGCATGTGGCTAATGTGTTAGACGCTTTTGTTTCAAATACTGTGATTTTATAATGTCGAATGATCTAATAACCTGAACGTTTTTGAGAACTTGTTATTTTTGCCATAGGATGTGAGTCAAATAATGAATTTTGTGGATCATGACACTCCGATAAGCCACTGTTTGCTAATCCACTCGACAACTGGCCTGTCCACTGGATTAGGGAATTGTTGGTAAAGTTAGAAAAATGATAAAAATCTGAAGTCAGCATCCTGGAGAAATCATGCAAAGTGTAAAATGGCCCAATATTAGTAGAAAAAAAACAACAAATAATATCAGTATCAGGTCCAGTTTTGTCTGTGTCTTCCCTGTTTTAGCCTTGTGTTTTTTGTTTACATTTTTGCCATGTGCTTTTGTTGTTATTTTGGTTTGGTCTCCTCCCTGGTCAGCCCCATTGTAATTGTGCTCATTTGGTGGTAGTCTGTAGCTCCGCCCTCTCGTTTTTTGCAGGTGTTCCATGTTTTCTCTTTGTCTATTTATACTCCCATGTTTAGTTTAGTCTTTTTCTTTTATTTTTTCTCTCGTTTCTTTTGTGGACCGTCGTCATTCTGTTTTTTGGACAGTTTTGGTTTTGCAGTAAAAGCAACTCGCATGTGCGTCCAGCCTCTACGCCTCCTTCGAGACAAGTACATTACTGGTACAAATGTTAAATTATGATCCCACTGTAGGATAGCACAGCAACACACTAGCAACACCTTAGCAACTACCTGGAATACCATAGCAATAGCTCAGCAACACTTTAGCAATCACCTGGGATAACAGCAACAGCTTAGTAACACCTCAACAAGCACATAGGATACCATAGCAACATGTTAGCAGCCACTTGGGATTCCATAGCAATGGCCTAGCTGTATCTTAGCAACCAACTGGGATACCAGCAGCGGCTGTGTTAAGCCAACTAAATTTGTTCATGAATTTTCCCATTTAAATTCCCTATTTTCCCTAGTTAAATTTAGGGTTTTGGGTAAAGATGATATTTATTTTGTTTGTGTGTAAAACATCACACTGTTAGGAAAGATTGTGTTTAATTTTGTTTTCTAATCAAGCTAATATTAGCATGGCAGCAATTTTATTGTTATAGTTTCAAAGCTACCTTGTTCTGATTTGCTGCAACAACACAGTGCAACTTGGTAGCACAGCATTTGACAAACTTGTTATATATTGTTATATATTGTTATATATTATATAGCTAATCTAAACAAAGTTGCTCATCAACGTTCTGTAAAGCTTGTCCATGCTTGCAAAAACTGCTACAAAAGGATGCATATATGGGCGGAGCTTGGACAGATCAATTGCTGGATAAATAAAGTCAATCAGAGTAAATATGAGTACTGTTTTCAGGCCTTCATGTCTGAGAGCAGATCCTTTAACAGCTGCCTTTACAAGACTATTAAAATGAGAATTTATGGGCACATCTTGACCTGGCCTTTACCGATAGGCTGTGTAATTGATTGAAAGTGGATAACCTTTGTCCTTTGCCCTCTGCCCTCTGCAGATTTACAGTGAAAAGAGGAGTCAGTTTGATGTGAGGAGGAACTCGCCTAAGGATCTGGTGGAAAGAGTGGCTCGAGACATCGCCAGGCTGCTCAACAGCAAGCGGAAAGCCCTGGAGGTGAGTGGCTGAGGGGGGGCTGTGCTATAGCCCACTGGAGTGTGGTTAGTCGAGTCGATATCGGATGAAAATGTTTCGTTTTTGCTCCTCGGAGCCTGTAAGTTGCTGCTTAAGCTGTTTTACCATGGGAGAGATTCTCTGAGAGTAAATAGTGCTTTGTGCTGAGTGAGTACGCTTCTGAATATAATGCCAGTAAATCTAGACATTGCATATAAAGAGTGTACCTAAAATAGAAGACATACAGTACAGAAGCTACTGTTGCTGCACACACGCACGAAAAAAGAAACCTCCCAGCGAGTCCATCGCCGCATTTGTTGTGTTTTCAGCCAGAGATCAACATAGTCCTTATCATTACATTAAAACCCAGGGATCGATCCTCTGTCTCTTCCAATAAGACAGAATTGGATTTCTAAAAACATATTATCGATGCCCACGGTGCTGCATTAGCCTGCTTAACTAAGCAGGTAATGAGATCGCCTTGCGCCGGTCTGCTCCCCCTAAAAATCTGCAGGACATCTCCACAGCACTGCACCGCTAACCCTCAAGGATCGGCTCCTGGCCAGAACTGGGAGTAAACATCAGCTGTGTTAACTGACTTAAAGCGGTAGTTTAACAAAAAAAATCACATTTACACAGTTTCTTCCTCGGATGGAGTCAAACAACCAAGATGTGTTAGTGCTGAACTTACAGCTACAAAGCTAATGCTAACACCTAATGGTAGCTTATGTACATACATTAGCACTGCATCATCACACACTTGCCTTAAACTGTGTCGAGTTATCTCTATTAGACTTACTGATGTGGTTTCTGACACTGTATGGCTATTATCTATAAACATGGACAAGAAACAAAGTCATATGCAAGAGTTAGGCATCCCTGGTCAGATGGCATGTTTTGATGAAGTAAAATTAGTATTTCATTTAAGGTTTTGTATACAACTGTAGCTAAAATCAGTAGTAGCTGTCTTTGTGATGCCTGGATTTTGTCTGTACTTTTGTATTGAAATATTTCGATTTATTACGAGTTTAATTTTTAAATATAAAACTGTATTCAAAGAAAGCTGCCCCACATTTTCATGTCACTACCAAAATACATAGATGAAGTCTGTAGGTGGAGCCTTATTTTAGCCACACCCCTGCATTTTAAAGCAGGAAGCGAGACTGCATTCCACTGTTTTGAAGTAAATGTGTCCCAAAGTCTGAACACCCATGTGTAACATGAAGAATTGTCACTACCAAAGCACATATTTTCTAAAATTAAGTAAACATTTGTCTTTTTATGAAAAAATTATGTACTGGCTAGTGTTTAACAATTTATATATTGTATCAAAATTTAAAACTTTAACATTTTTACATTTTGGACAATTAAAATTTGGCCAATACCCCCCTTGCACCCCTTGGTCTCTTCAGAGGGTCTCTGACTTGTCATCTGTTGTGGAAACCACAGTCAGTAATCAAAAGTAGCCAATCTGTGTAGCAGGTAATTAGCTCTGTAAAGTAAATTTTTAAAATTTGAATCGAATTAAGTCTAGAAATCATATTGGAACTAAAAATACGTGTATCTTTACCCCTCTAGTGCACATGCATGCAAACATATATATTCAACTCCATATGTTGTCAGTATTGAAAAATGTATCTATGTAAAAACACTACATGTTGTATCTAATCACATTTGTATATATAATCAATAAATCCGTATATATTATAAAAAAATGCAAAAATGATAAACGTTTTCCTTTAAAAAATGAGCTGACTGTCATGATTTATTCTTAACACAGTGCCTTCTGTACCTTAAATATAGTTTCTCATGAAAGCCATTTTTGTCCATTGTCATTGAAAGTTCACGTTTTACAGCAGAAATGGTCAAACGTCAGCCATGTTCTCCAGCAGCACCTGATAAATCTGTTCAGCAAATCAGTGCACAGTATTCAGGTCAGGTGATGCAACACTGCCTCGAACTGTTTTAGGCACAACCCCCAGTCTATCCCTTCTCCCTACAAAGTGCACTACATAGGTCTTAAAATAATGGCTACTGCATCTAAACAGAGCACAGTGTGTCTAACAAAGAATCACTTTGGATTCAGCCATGTGTGCACAGTTCCAGGGATAAATAAGGAAATATAGGGAGCAGTGAGCCATTGGAGATTCAGCCTCAGGATTTTCTGAGGTATGATCTCATAGATGTTTAATATTGACCATTAATGGGATGTTTTTGTTGCAGTTTTCAGCTCTTTACCTGCTTGTTTTATGTTAAAGAATGTTAAATATTGCACTTAAAAGAAACTGATATCCATTGAAGTGGCTTTGTTTAACTCAGAAACTTGAAATGACCTTTGAAGTTCTCTGCTTTTGCCAAAAAAAACAAAAACAAAATTAAAGTTAATAAAATTTCTGTAATGTTTGATTTTGTAAGTCACCTGTGTTTTGTTGAGTTGCTTTTACTTAATCAAAACAACACAACAGCAATTTGATTGATATTAACCGGTATTAATATATATATTATATATGAATGAACGCTGGCTGTTATCTTTTATTATTAGTAATGTTAGCAGCCTCATACTACTCCTTTAAAATGTCAGGTTTTAGGACCGGAGGTGAAGAGATGTTCATTTTCTCAGACATGTGCAGTTTGATGGGTAGTTTTTGTGACAGGCTGAATTGCCACGAGAAACACGATTTAGTTTGCTGCTGAATTAAACTGTGATAGGGATATACGGCCTGTGGGCTTTAACCTAAGGCTAACGTTAAATTACACAAACCAGCATCAGAATTAGCGCTGCATCAGTCAGCTCACATTTTCAGACCAGACACACGAATATTTGACAGTGCAGGGAAGACTGGATGCTCCGAATGTTTGGAGAACAGCGCAGGCCTCGGGAGGACGGGCAGCGGCGGGTGTGTTTGACATCACAAAAGTCTTTCAGACAGGACTGGACAGGACTGGTGCTATGAGGTCAGCGCTGTGCCAGTGGCTAGACAGAACCATCACCCAAACCCCTACGGACAACCTGCTCTGGAGAGAGAGAGAGAGAGATAGAGAGGGAAAGGGAGAGAAAACGAGTGTCAAATGAAAATGTTCCTTCAGGCAAATGGAAAACGCGAGGAAATGAAGTTCTGAAATTCATTGATTTCAAAATGAGCAGCAGGAGGGAAATGAGAGAGAGAGAGAGAGAGAGAGAGAGCGGGAAGGATGTGGAACAAGAAAGAATGCATAAGAGAGAGAGAGAGATAGAGAGGGAAGGCTGTGGAACAAGAAAGAGTGCATAAGAGAGAGAGAGAGAGCACCGATAGTGATGGGAGCGATGAGGAGAGATGGAGTGAGCTGTTCTCTGCGTTCTTTAATAAAAGCACATAAACTGTGTAATGTTGGCGCGGTTTATGGTGCTCTCTGTATGTTCCCTCAATTGAGCCTTCAGTAAACTACCTGCAATCTCATCAACGCAAATATGCGCCGGACATAAAAAATAATGCAAATAACTTAAAGCAGCGGCTGTTAAGAGCCCAATAAAATCAACAGAATTTATGACACGCAGGATAAAAATAGAAGCAGCCTGCGGTGTTGGAGGGAGAGAGCTGGTCGTGGCACGTTATCTACGTACAGAACAGACGACCAGTTACATTAAAGGAACATCTCACCTGTTAAACTACTTTGGCTATCAGCGGATTAAAACTACAGAGGGGCTGATTAACAAAATCTCTTTTCCATCTTTGCCCTATTAGCTGTCATTTAGTCATTTAGTAGTGGGCCGTTCATCCAGTGTAAGTATCATAGCCGTAACAGTGATATATACGGACGTACAAACGGTGCAAACCATGCTAAAGTTGACCCACTTTGCTGAATCAGGGACGTTTCAGTCACGTTTCAAATGGAAAAGAAAATGCAGCAGACCCTAAATCACCTCACGCTGTCTAGATTGTTGCCACTTTGTTTCGTGGCAGCGGGCATAAAAGAATGCCCGGTCTTTTGTGGTTCTTTTGTGTGTTTTGTGGAAAAGAAATATATGATCAGAACAAAACCTTGTATCTCCAAAAATGACTTTACAGCAGAAGGAAAAGGCGTTCTTAACCTTCCCTGGGAATTAATGTAATAAGATTTAATTCTAAGCTATTTTAGACCAATTCTGTTGGTCCATTCAGAAGAAATTTTGACACAATGAAAAGATCAGCTGGCATTTTTCAGAATAACAGCAAAAACAACAAAAATGGAGACGCAAGGTTTTGTTCTGACGGCGTTTAAAGGGTTTCTTTGCATGATGCCAAAGAAGAACCAAGAGAGATTGAAACGATTTGTAAGTTATTCCTAAAACCTGTGGACTGCGTTCTGAATGTGTGGTGCACATGCTTGATCATAAACTACCTGGTGCATCCAGCAGTAAAGACAGTACGGAGCTTCTTTTGTTCAGTGATAGGAAACACAGCAGCACACAAAAAGCTCCAGATCTACATGCTGATCCATTTTACTGCGAGGACATGCCCGCTCACCAAGTACTGAGGGGGCAGATAAAGTTAAAGGGCATGATAGACATGTTAGGTAGCGCTCTTCACTCAGATACGCTGATCAGTTTATGATGCTCTGGCAGCGCAGAGTGAAAGTGGCTGCTGAGAGAAGCGCTTACAGGATCTGAGAGGCAAAAGTAGGCTATGACGTGTGTGTGTGTGTGTGTGTGGTGTGTGTGTTGCGTATGCATCAAGCAACTGCCATATACTTGTACAACTTCTTCAGAGTCAGTATGACTGACAGCTCTGTGCTGTGTGTGTTGGTTTGAGGGACAGTTCCACGCTTGGTAAGCTGTCATATTGAAGCTCAGTGGTGCTACTAGTGGTGTTCAGAGGTGCTGCAGTTGTATTGTATACAAGCCGGAAGTGGGTGTGGCTTAAACAAGACATGAGCAGGTATGTTTACTGACTGGAAGCCATATAATTGGAAGAAACAGTTCAGTTTTAGACTTTTTTTGCCATATTTTGTGCCAAAGGTAAAAGGTAAAGCATTATAGCAGTTTA